CCATTTATTTCACTGTGTAAAGAGTCGTTTTATGTAAAATTGTGCCAAATAGATTTTTTTATATTCATCATAATATGGGGGAAAATAGTTTTAAAATGTTCACAGCAGAGGGTGAAACCTTGAACTTAATCTGAATTGTGTTTTCCAGTTGTAAATGAGCACTTTTTGGTGGGGGGGGGTATACTGGCTGGTAAACAACATGGGTGCTGAGCAGAGTTGGATTTGGCATGCTGCGGATTGTGACTGCTTTACTCAAACAATCTAAATCAGTTCCCTCAACAGCCAAACAATTTAATGGAGATGTGAATTTGCAGCCAGTGTATAACGGAGTTTGGGAAAGGCAAGAGTTTGCTACAAGGACTGTCTTTGAGACAGGTGACTGTTTAAGCAATGTGATTGGAGACACTAGTCTGGGTGTATTTCTGAAATCCTGAGCAGTGAGGAGATGTCTTTCACTTACATCAGTACTTACTGGAAATCTGGAACGTGCAGCACAACTACAGCAGTAATTACTCATGTTGCTATGTTTCTTTCTGTGAGTATGAACAGTGCCCCAGTGACGTCAAGAATCACAGAAATCACTCTAGGCAGTGGCTTGGTCAGAGACGTATGCCTTGTACAAAGATTCTTCTTTTGAATATAGAAAAGCGTACTCTGCTCTGATATACTAGGTCTGATCTGGCTAATAACACTGCAGATAAATAATATATTCACCTTCCATCAGGGTGAGTGAAGGGCCTTCTGTGTACAGAGCTGCTAGTTGTGCCTGTAGGAACAATCATTCCACTTCACAGTATACGTGACAGTTCGTCAACAAATACACAGTCACTCCACTTCACAGTAAATCCTGTGAAGCGCTTTGGGACATTCTCCCAATATGGAAGGTGCCATACAAAATGCAAAGATTATTATTATTTTATTGTGGTTTAGATCGCTCCCTAGAGGTAGGTAGTATCTAACTGGTTTTCAGTGGTGGGTCAGCCAGACCAGTAACACTGCCACGTTACACTTTAATGGATGTTATTTTTCTTGATATACGTTTGAACTTATTATTATAGTAATTACTAGTGGAAATGTTTTGATATGATGATGAGCTTATTTTAAAAATATATGCTTAGATTAAGCTTGCTGAATCATAGGTTGGCGTAAGAGAAGACTTTTAATTGAAATACATTTACTAATCTCATCTCAGGAATGGACTCAGAGCCTCCATCCCTGCTTCCAGTTAAAAAAAAGGATGGATGCATTTTCCCAATGCCCATCCCATGGATACTTGTGGGATCTGACTGCTTCTGTAGCGTGAGGACATTTATTCTTGATAAAAATCAGCGCTGGTGTGTTGTGTGAACACTGAAGTGAATATTTGAAGTGAGAGCATTGGACTATTTTCAAGTGTTTGCTAGTCACTTAACTCTGCAAAAGGGATAGTATCTCTTTTGTTGCCTGGAAGCTCTTCCGATAGCTCTTGCTATTGCTCAGTATGAAACCTGAATGCTACCCAGCCAGAGAGTCCTATGTTCTTCATGGGAACGGGAGGGGAAGCCTTTCTATAAATTCATGGCAGATCCTTTAATCCTATTTTCCCACTTTTTCTTTATAACCCTTAATGCTCTTGCTTTCCTTAGATTCTCACTCTGCTCTGCACGAGTTGGCAAGGCTAGCACTTGAGGTGCAGCAGCATGTGGTTTCAAACTGAAAACTCGGACTGGACTTATGCTCCTGTTTGCTATCCAGTGACCTGGTTACCTCCTGATTTGCGTCTGATAACACCTGACTGGAATGTATCTGCCAACCATCTACTCTGGTGACATCTAATGTCAGAAACTTGTATGGTACCATGACTGCGCAATTATGATTTGTAATTTTTTTTAGTGGACTTTAGAAGAAATGATCATATGAAATTGATCTTTTTTGGACTTCCACTTAAAGGCAGGCAGACAGGACGTCCGCCTTACCTAAAAGATTGCACTCTAGACATTGCAGTCCTCACTGTAGTGTCGGTCTAGACTGTCAGCTCAAGTCCCGCTTAAACCCATAACATTCTACTTCTCTGGAGAGAGAGAGAGAGGGTTCTATCAAATGGCCCACAATAAGAATAATGGAATCAAGCATTCAACTTTTGGGATTGAAGTTTTCTCATTTTCATCTGCAGTCCATCGCGTTGGATGTTTCATTGACCCTGGAGCCCTAATGGAGTCAATTCTGCAATCAGGAGCAAAGACAAGGTCCAATAAAATCTCATAGTATAGAACATCCCAGCCAGTAATATAGGCTAGAAGCTGAGTTTCAGGATCACTGGGTACTAGTATTTTTTTTCCTATGCCAATCCTTTTATACTAATTTTTCAATTCCATTTGTCACCTGCTCCACATTTCTTCCTTTGATGGGCTCTGTAGCCTTTTTCTTCACCAATAAGTTTACGTTTTTTCCAGCATGACCTTTCCCTCTTTGTATCCTCCATTTTCTCTCTTCTCCCTTCTAAAAAAACAAACCTGTGCAGTTGGGTTGAGGGAATGTAGATGACTTTGCATGCTGCAAAAGACCCAGCCCAGCATAAAGCACCCAGCCCAGCAAAAAATCAAATGAGGTGGAACTTGCCCAGTGAGTCGAGGAAAGTTCACTTGTCAAGTGAAGAATTACAAAGCCGGATCATCCGGTTGCAAGTCCAGTTCGGTTCTGATAGCAAAATCCGTCCATGTTATTCAAACCAGAGAGGCCTACTGTGATGGTTCTCTTCAAGCGTTTTGGAGGCATTCTAGTGAGAACACCAACAGAGATTTACCTGATTACTGTCACAATGTTAGACAGACCAGTTTGTAGGAAATGATTTAACACAAGGTGTCATTTCTATAGGATTCTTCACCCACTAGTAATCCTTTGTGACACCAGACACTAAGAGGAGTGCAATTCAAATGTGTTTAATGTATCTGAGATTATTTAAATCTATGGGATGCAGGAATGGCTTCATAATTCCTTTTTGAGACCACCTGTAGAGTATTTTTTATGTAACCTTGTTTGTGAAGTTTGAAAGGACTTAACTATTAAATTGTCCTGGCATATGCATTTATGGAATTATTGAATGTTCTAGCACAAATTCAGGCCATTTGGCCAATTAAGTCACCATTAGTGCACTTCATTATATGAGCCACCTACTCTAATCCCACTCTCACGCTCACTCCCGGTGCTTTTTAATATTCCTTTTTTTTAAAGAATCTATAATTTCCCTTAAACAACTCTTTGGGCACTGCCTCAACAACTACTTCTGAGAGAGAAATTTCATTAACTGAAGGACTGAGTGGAAGACTGCGCTGAGTGTTATGCAGGATAACAACAACAACAAAATTACATTTGTATAGCGCCTTTCACGTCGGGAGGACGTCCTAAAAATACTTGTCTGTATTTTGATATTCAATCTGCTGTTTTAAACTTTATTCTTCATTTGATAAATAGCACTGTGGTAATGGTAGGCACCGTAGCAACTGTTGGTGTGAGCTCACATCAGCATCTGCATTGACTCGAAACCTATAGATCGTGGGGACGGAGGAATAAATCTAGGGAACATACTGGTATTGGGCCATCATTGTTACTTCAGTGATGTGAATTCTCCATTGGGAAGCATAGAATTGTTGTTCTTGCCCATCAACTAACCATTTGTTACACGTGTGATATCCCTCTGAACCAATACAACTTGCAGTAAGCGTTTTTTAAAATGTGAGAATTTTGCCAAAGGACTGAGGTCTTTCTCCGTCCCAATGTGGCCACAATCTAACTGTCTTCCTGTGAGAGGATTTAGTTTAATTGGATTGCCCCTTAATGCCACTTGCCCACAGTGCTCACATTAAACCATGAAGGTACTGTTTTTCCACTCGCACTAGAATCTTTGGTGGCTGATAAAGGAAATACTTGGGTTTCTATAGTGTTTAATCACGATTCAAATGTCTTAAATTGCTTCACAAGCATGCGATCATTTGTGTCAGCAAGGTTCCACGCACAACTGTGAGGATGGTTGGCCAAGACACCAGGAGGAACTCCTGTCTCTTTGAATGTTATGTATCTGTAACATGCACTTTAACTGCCAGATTTGGTCCTTGGTTCAGTGTGTATTCCAGAAGAGCGGAACATTTGACAATGCAGTTAATAAATAATAATAATCTTTGCATTTGATATAGCGCCTTTCATGTCTTCACAGAATAGATTGTAAAGTGAATTGACTGTATATTTGTGGGCAAAACGCGGCAGCCAATTGGGTACAGCAGTGTCCCACAAACAGTCGCGGATTGAAAATGACCAATTTATTATTTTTTTTGTTTTGGAAGGATTATTATTAGGCGTGTGGAGTAAGGAAACTTGCCCAAGGTTTCGCCCTGCCTGGAATTGAATCCAGGTGTCTCGCTTGCAAGGCGTGTGCTCTAACCACTGAGTTATTGACACTTTTGACAATTTTTACACCCCCCCCCATTGCATTGAGTGTTAGCCGAGGGACTGTTTGAAGTCAAATTTTTTATACCTATATCCACTTCAAGTAGGTCACAAACATATGTGGCTTTACTTTCCTAAGTTATTTTTTTGATTGCCAAGAGCAATAATAATATAATAATAAACCTTGCATTTGATGTAGTGCCTTTATATATGATAAACATGTTTTCTTTTGCATTGACTTGCATTGAGGTACAGTTCTAGAGTTGCATGTCCATACAGCGAGAGTTGACAGGTGATTTAACTGCAAATTAGTTTATTTCTTCCCTTTGAAATCGGTACACCCACATACACGTTCCTGATGGGGTTATTGTAGACATTGGGTGCAAGGTCTCTGGTTACCAGCTTCTGCGTCTCCCACAAACTTAGCCCATTGGATTGAACTGAACCTCGGACCTTTAGCTGATACAAATAATGAGAGTTTTCGGTTCTGTAAATGACTTATTTTGTTCGTATGAGGCTTTTGTCTCTTTGTCATTAAATCTTTATCATTTATTGAAATTGTCTCTTTATCCTGCTTTCAGTATGTCACGGTCTGGATATCAGAAATAATGTTGGGGACCTGCAGCAGCTGGAGAACTGCACCATAATCGAAGGTTACCTTCAAATTCTCCTCATCTTTAATTCTAAAGTGGAAGATTTCCGTGGCCTTCGATTCCCAAAACTGACCGTGATCACAGATTACCTGCTGCTTTACCGAGTGTCTGGGCTGGAGACACTGCGAGACCTCTTCCCAAACCTTGCTGTCATCCGGGGCATACAGCTGTTCTTCAACTACGCTCTGGTCATCTTTGAAATGACTCACCTCAAAGAGATTGGGCTCTACAGCCTCCAGAATGTAACGCGGGGCGCGGTTCGGATTGAGAAAAATCCAGATTTGTGCTACTTGTCCACTATAGACTGGTCCTTCATCCTGGATTCTGTGGAGAATAACTACCTTGATCGGAATAAACAGCCGAGTGAATGCGGAGATGTCTGCCCGGGAGCTATGGAAGATAGTCCTCTTTGCACAAAGACAAGTGTGAACAACCAGTATAACTACCGTTGCTGGACTGCCAACCACTGCCAAAAAGGTAGGTCAATTTCTTGAGCTACATTGGATTTTTTTCAGAAGCCATTTTGCACTTTCAATGATCTTGTTAATAGATTAATGGGGAACACGGTGAGGTTGAAGATGTGACATTCAAACACTGGAAGCCCTGTTTGCAACTGGTGTTTTACTTTGGGGCTGTTTCACAACTGAGAACAGCAAAAAGTTTTGAGAAGCAAATCTATCGATGCAAAACGATTTTTGTTATTGGCTTTTTGTTAAAACCCAATATTGTAATGAATCCCGCAATTTCATTTATTCACTCTATTATTGCAACTACGCCTGTTTTTCAAAATTTCCATTTTCCCACAGTGACTTTCCCTTTTTCCACCCCCCGACAATCTTTGAAGTGCTCATCTGTGTGGCCTAACTTGTAATTGGTAATTTTTGAGGTGTACTGGGTTAGTCTCCATTTTGAGAACCTGCTGTTTATTGAAGCAATTGTTTTTTTTCTTGTTCTGCACTTTCCTTTCCAGCCATCTCCCTTCATGCACTTTCGATGTATTGATGGGATGTATTTCCAGGTAAAGCTGGCTGTTGGTACTAAAATACTACGAACAGAATTCCTTTTTTTGCCTGTATGTATGGCCCATGACCTATCTCTTCAGGAGCTGTAGCATGCTGAGCCCTGGATCACCTAATGTCCGGATGGAAGAGGAGAAGAACTGGGTTGATGTATACACTTCCCAGCCCCATAATCTAGAGTAGACCAGTGTGATCCTTAACTTTTATAATGAATGTTGTGCAAGTAAACTCTTATTGCTGTGTTCGTCTCAGCAATAACATCATAAATTGTAGTGTCAATGAAGGCAGACGTTTCCACAAGGTTAGATAGAACCTCAAACTGTTTCACATCTCATCTATTTAAAATATTGCTAAACTTTTCTTTTGAAATGACTCCGATTTGGTGTGCACTTGGGGCTTGTGTGTGGCACAACCTGTTAGCAACTGACCACAGTAGCCAGTTATAATCGGACTCTCATCGAATTACTTTTGTAGATGGTAAATTGGGTTGGCTTATTCTCTTCCAGAAATAGATGATAATGGAAGCAATTTAAATATATAACGAGCTGGAAATGTGAAACAAAGCCAGGAATGCACTACAACACCCGAAAGAGAAAGTAGAGTAATTATTTGCGTGTATATTTCATCAGAGTTCATTTTGGAACATTAACCTCTTAACTTTTTGACCACAAGAACAGTTCACTACTCCTGTCTTCCCAGTTGAGACGAGATAAGCAAAGGTCTTACCTATTGAGCCTCACAAGCTAATTCTTTGCAAGCAGAGCCTGGCGCATTGAAATTAAACTTAATGGAGATACTTGAAATTAAGGAAGGTTTGGTAAATTTGTAGACGGATGTTTTTCTTCTGGGTACAAAACTCAATGGTATTAATTTGAAAATAAGGAGACCCAGGCAAACAAGTAGTGCAGGAGAATTTATTTAATAAAAGGACGATAGGAAGATGCAATAAAGTACAAGTGACAGTGATAGAAGAATGATTTTATAAAAGAGTTTCAAAAGGGAACTGGACTAGTTTCATATCTTCCTGCCCTGAAAGGCTCTATATAAATACAATTTGTTTACTGCTGTTACAGTTTCTGCAAAGCAAAATGATTCAGGATTAGTAGATGAGATAGGTGGCGGCCTGGCTCAGTCTGCCAATTGTTCACCTCTGGGTCAAAAGGTTGTGGGTTCAAGCTTACTTTGGGGTCTTTGTCCTTGCAATCTAGACTGATGGTGCCAGTGCAGTTCTAGTGGAGCTCTGCATTGCCAGAGGTAGTGGTCTTCAGGTGAGATGTTAAACCAAGGTCCCGCTTGTCTGGCATTAAACATTTCATAGCTCATTTTGAAAAGAGAAGGAACTTTTAAGCGCTCTGAGACGCTACCCTGCATGAAGGGTGCGATATAAATTCAAGTTGTTATTTATTGTTCACCCATGTTCTGAACAACAGTCCTCGAGATGAAATTAGTCCTTCACTTTTTGGCTGTTTTGCAACATTGCTGTGTGCAAATTGGCTGCTGTATTCGCCTGCAAATACTTAGTCACCGTACTTTACAGTAATTTTGTGAAGCGCAATATCAAAATGCACTTACTATTAGATATGTAGAAGAAATCTTTTGGGAGGTTGAATGGGTAGCTGAAAATCACTTATTTTGTATTATTCAAACACAGGAACAAGTTTAAACTGTTAGTAGTGGGGGGAAAGAGTAGGGGTTCATGCTGGGCAGTCATTTAAAATAAGGGCTGCATTACTAACTGGATTTACTGTGTAGTGTTTTGGGGAAAGACTGCAGTCCCTTTCTATGGCCTCCCGACTGCTATGCTGAGGGGAAGCATGATCCAAACACTAGACTGATGTTGACGTCCAGAGCCAATGAGACTCTGTTTGTTCACAGACTGATTAAGATCATTTTTCCCCCAAATTGCTTTCGTAGTTAGTCTGTTCCACCTCTATGAACACTGGAGAAAATGAGCATAAGCATCCTTGAAAGTACTTGATGTACGAAACACAAGGAACAAACATCTAATGATTGTACCGTTGAACTCACTTAAAACCGACTGATAAGATCAAATGCCGATGGTTTCTTTTGAGAAAGTTATATTGAATTTTATCAAGGGCTCCTTTGTTGAGACCAAATTAAAACTCTTGAGACTTGGACAATCTATGAGTAATAGAGCTATGGATACCTAGGACTGAGCTAGCAATGTATGAGCTAGGGATGCTTCAGATGATGCCTTCAAAGTATAATGGTTAAAGTCATTTAAACTTGAATAAAATTGTAGCTTTTAAACTCACTGTTAATATTTGGTTGAAATGCAGAGATCTTGGCGCTTTATTTCTCTCAATGTCTGGAGAACTCCAGTGTCAAAATGTTGTGAGTGCTATATTATTCATGTAATAGAGGGAGTTTTCTTTTGGGTGGGGGGAATTAATATAATGTTAACATTTCTTGGTATCCTGAGAGAATAATTTGCAGGATATTGGGTGAAAGGTGATGGGTGGTTACAGCCAAGTCCAATCTTGCCCTTAGCCAATGACCACATGCAAGCACTTCCTCGCAAGCAGATACTGGATAGGAATCCTGACCTAATGCTGTTCGGTTGAGATCGGATAACTCGGCTCACACCAGGACTGAAACTTGGCTGGTCTTGTCTATGTGTCATCTCCACAGTGGGCAGTGCTTTTAACCTAGTGAGTCATTGGGAGAACATAATATCGTTCAAATTCCTTACCACCTCCTCCCCTACTTAAAAAAAATGATAAATGGGGAAAAAATGTAGGCTAACTTCTATTTTCTATTATGACCCTAACAAAGGGACCAACATTTGTAATCCCACCCGTCTTCGGTGGGTGAGCATGGTATTTTCTCTTGTTGCTGAGCACCAGCATAGTCTGTAACTGGGTGTGGAAGTGATGTGCTTTGTTTGAACGGAAAGGGAAACTGAGAGGTCATTGATTTTGGTTTTGTCACTTTGGAAAAAGTACTGTATCCAGTGTGGTGTCAGAGTATAGTTGGGGTTGTCACCAGGAAGCCTCTTCTTTATCAGAGGATGGTGATGAGGTTCGGCACAGACAGTGTGAACACGGGAGGAGAAAGAAAGGCAAAAATAATATGAAAAGAAAACTTACGAAAGGAGAATTTGTTTTCAGGAAGGAGCTGTAAATCTGTGTTCTCAAAAAAGGGGACAGTGGGTCTTTAGACAAAAACAAAAAGATCGTGTCAAACATTAATGTTTAACGAGCTGGAGAATGGGCATTTAAAATTCATAGTGCTGTGATTTGGGGAGCTTTTTACCGCATGGTTGGCTGTTTTGATGTGGAGAGGCTTGCTGCTGTTTCAGCTTTGCAGTTTTATTGAGCCTGTGAGAAATGTTTCCTGTGCATCCTTGATGGGGCGTTCCTCAGGAGATGCTGAGCAGGTGGAAGGGGAGCTGGTTGTAGGAGCAGACTGACCTCTCGGTGCATTACGGCAAATGTGTCGGCTGCCAGAGAACAGGGACTAAAGCTCTCCTTTTGGAAAAACAGGGTGACCTGGTTGTGATCGGGAAGGAATGTTTCCCCATTGGCGTTAGCTTGGGCCCAGCTAAAAAGTAATCGCCTGTGGCTACTGTTTTCTAAAACACCCAAACCCATTGCTCATACTGAAACTCCTCTAAAATGATGTCCTGATTTTCTTATGTGTGTGTAAAAAAAAAAGCCATCTATTGTACAAAAGTTCGGAAACAGTTGATAAGCTCATGTTGATAAAGTGGGATTGGTGAGTTTACATGGAAAAATCCCAAAAAGGAAAGTTCAAGTCCTAATTGGTCTGACCTGAGATTGTCTGTTTGGCTCAGTCAGTCACATTTTTGCCACTGTGGGTTTGAGCCCCCAGGCTACAACTTGTGAGCTGAATATTCCAATGCAGTACTGGGGGAGCACTGCATTACCATACGCATTGTCCTTCGGTGGGACGATAATTTTTTTTTCTTTTGCACTTAATTTATTTGTCATCAGATGTCCACACCTGACCCTTGGCCAAGCCTAGGCGTCTGCAGGCAGATCTTCTTGGGAAGATAAGGACAGTAGTGCCCAACTTTATGGTGCCCTTACTTCTTCCTCTGCCTCTAGGTTGTTGTGTCCCTTTTGGTAGCCTCTCGTGACTCAAGGTCAGACAATGTAGACATGCTGCTCCCTGTATCTGACCTGCATTGAAACCAGTGGCTGCGTTCCACACATTCCTTCATTCCCCCAAGAGTCGGCCTTACCTCCCTCGTCTGCACCTGTGGGGCCTGTGAGTTATATGTGTATGTCACATTTATTGGAGATTGGGCATAAGTTATCGCTGTGCTTTCATGTAATAATTATGGGGAGGGTATAGGATAAAATAGTAAGAATTGTATTAGTAATGGTAAGATTAATGGAGTTATTGGAATGAAATAGCAAATGGTGGGTGGGGGGAGGGCTATTGGATTGAAATAGTAAATTGTGGGGGGAT